TTATCCTTTATATACAACAGCAATTAACTATATACAAAATTATCCTCACGGGGAGGTGGTCTTACGTGGTCAATTGCACCACGAACTTGATTAATCAGCCTTATCCTTAACCTACGCCAGAATAACACTCACAGCGATCAGGGTAAACCTCACAGTGATCAGGATAACCCTCACAATAACCAGGTAACCCTCACAGCGATCAGGGTAAACCTCACAATAACCAGGTAACCCTCACAGTGATCAGGGCAACCCTCAAATCTAAATAAATAATCTACCGATGGCTTATAACCGATAAGTCGTGACAATACAAGCAAATACAATCCTTGCAATTATACAACACAACAGGGTAGACTTATATAACAATAATCTCTACTGCCTTACGAAGCAACACAGTTCCCAAACTACAAGGTTCAAGGTGACTTAAATAACCCTAACCCATTTCAAGTTATTACGAAATAACACAGGTAAGTTACGAAGGCGATTATAGTAGTCCTCACCAGACTGTAACGGAAACCTGCACCCAATAAACCTCAACGAGGAAAGCAAGCTCCCAGACCAGGACTGCAACCAACCGTTGCTATGCCAACAAGCATGGAACAACGGCACCCAATCCTTCTAGTGTAAGCTTCGCTAATTCCCCAATTAACTGGTTCACACGGGTTCCCTAACCCTATAATGTACCACTTCTTAAATAAACGAGACTGTCTAACGATCCCCCAATCTTCAAAGAGATCCGATATAATTGGCAGCTCCCGCAACTGAGAACAAGCACCACACTAACCGATCACACCATGCACACTTGAGGTGAATCCCCAACCACCAGCGGTCGTACGTCAGATTTACAATCGAAACTCAGAAGACTAGAGCTCTGGTTAGCACGCTGCCATATTGAGAAGTCCTGGCAACCCACGCAGCCAGCGCCCAGACCTAAGGTAATGCGCGCCTCTGATTGGTTGCCGCGGCATGTTTAATGCATGATTTAGACGTGCCTGAATTATTAATGACCCAGACTAAACACAAGTCTGCGCAGCTACCCTGTTTCGCAACAGTATTCAAAGAACTTATTCAGACAATTAAACCGGGTTAATCAGAGAACAAAAGGCACATTGTACTGTTGACATTTTCAAATATTTAACCATTCAACCGATATCGGCCAAACTGTTTCGGAAAGGTCTGGACAATTTCGGAAACAATTTTTGGACAATGGCGACTTCTAGACCAAAAGATTTTCCAAAATAGTCGGAATTCTTTTGTCATTGACCTTGGCTAAGGACTGGGTAAACTACAGTCGTCATAGGATGGACATGGCACGATTTTTCCGAAAAAGCCACATCGTTTTCTATTTCAATTACATGTACCAATAAATAGGCCTAGGGTGAACAGTGTAAAGAATCCCAGAGACTGATAGCAATAGAGCCAATACATTGATTGATTGATCCGTGATCATGTATTACTACTTAGAAGTTACATTGCATAAAGAAAATAAAGGAAAAATACCCTTAAAACAATAAGAAAAATACACAAAAAGCTTCCGATGGGTCACGGTTTTCGCCCAACAATGCACAAACTTAAAGAACTTTCGTAATTACTCCTAAAATCCGACCGACATAATAGCTGTAAAAGGACGCTTCAAAGCGATCACTCTTGCTGTGCCACTATCATGCACCTTGGATGCATGTATAAGAGCCGTAACTATTTACACTCAGTTACCCTGTAGGGACGACATGAGCAGACCTTCGTATTTAGGCAACGCATGCGTGTTTCCAAATGCAGAAGAATGGTTCCCAGCTAAGTCTTTCAATAGCAACTGACCTTCGAGCCCGGCAGTTTGTTACGTGATTAGATGTTACGAACGAAATTTCAAGTGAGCCACTGTGAAATCTCGCAAAGATGTATGTTAACTGCATCAAATGCATTATTGCTACTTTGAAAAATATATATTGACGTTCACAGGTAAGGTAAAAGATTAATTTCCAGGGACTCCCAAATCAGACTAAAAGTGGAGGGCCACTTTCTACGCCTCTACAAATTACTCCATACGGTGGGTTTCATGGTAAAGTTGGGCCAAAAATGTCATATAATTACTATACACTTTCTTACAAATAATGCGCACATAGTGGGTTTACATACAGGGCCTCGGAGCAAAAAGGGGTATGGGCCTCGAGTGGAACCAAGAGAGGGCGCGATTTTCCTGGCAACAAGGGCCCAAACAGGACGCTGGGAGGAAGAAAATTGAAGGATTACAGCAGGCAATAATCCCTGGGATTATGGCTTGCTGTAATTCTTCAATCCTGACGAAGGTGCTTTGCACCGAAAACTTGGGACACTCCATCCGGTGAGCACTTGTTCAATTTTTTCTACGCTTATCTTAGAAAATGACTAGTTGCGGGTGATGACTTCATTGGTTCAGATTTCTTTCAACCCAGGAGGGCGCTGTGCGTGTTCACGTAACCATGATTCTGCACATTTTGGTGAATCGTTAAAGTTTTCCAAAAGTAATCCATTCAATTTTTGCCAAAGAGCTGGATACGCCAAATGCCGTGAGTATGTCCTTTGATCTGTTATGATGAATTATCTGTCAGAGATTATGCTTTATATGGCTGGTTGAAGTATTTTTCCATGAACATGGTAAAATTTGACGTTTTTGTGGGGTAGAATTTGGCCACGTGCTCCAGACAAACATGGAGGTTGCATGCAATAGCACGTATTGTTAGTACAGGTGCAGAGGTTATGCATGAAGGCGGAGTTTGAGTCCTTTTGTATAAGTAACAGTAAGGTAAACCGTTTGTGCATTTAATGTAACCAAAATGAAGAATAACGAAATCAACCTCCGTGTCACCAGCAATGCGTAACCTCTATTACAGGCGCCACTCTTGAGTTTGGAAAATTCATATGGCATATATAATGTTCACTTACAAGGTAAGAGCCAAATTTGGCGAAATTTAGTGATGAATTTTGATGTAAACATTGTTGCTGTAGAGTAATTTAGGGATGTAAGTTGGAATGAGAAGGGAAAAGCAAATGATTCAGTTCACTCAAAATGCAAGTTATGCTAGATACGTGTTTTGTTTTTTTGGAACTCAATTGAGTAAGCCATCTGGTTAGTCCCTCTGTGGTGTATAATTAGTGTTGCAAGTTTGAGTTCATTCTGACACAACTGTTAAACACTTACTGTACTTTGATTTACGCAAATGTATTGTTAATTGCATATTGAACCGCACACCCCCGTTCATATTAGCAGTACATGCATACATGCAATTTGCACAACACAAGAGTACCGTACCACAAACATTCACCATCTCTGAAATTTTCTTGAAGTTATCTATTACAACCATCATCCTGTGCGCAGGAGGTATGGACTTTATGTAGCTTTTGTCTCCACGACAAGCGTGGTGGAAAGTCCAACTGTAGATTATGTTCTATAGTGCGGAGTAACTTACGGTCTGAGTGTAACGCCATGTAGGAAACATCGATCCCGACATCCTCAACGTCTTCCAAAATCCTTTCAGTTGTTCAAAAGGAAGACTTTTTCAGGCTGCACACGCAATTTTGGTAAAACTATACACACCTCCAATGCATTAAGAAAATCGAGTGACATAAGAAGGTAGTTCAAGAGTCCCATTAAGTAGCTAAATTTACCTGCCACAGCAATATCTGTAGACCATAAGTGGAGTGAGACAGAGCCTACGTGTATAAGGCTAGATTTCTGTGATTAAAATGGCCCCAATGCAAGCCCACTCTGGTTGGAAGTGCCCAGTTTCCAGTCAATTTCTAGAACCTTAGATCTGTCGAGTTGTATATCGACAGCCTGGATTCCATAAGCTGCGTATGCATTCCTTCACTAAGATTGCACAAGGCATAGTGGGAATCAACATGGTTCCACAAGATTGTAGCCCTTGGGAATGAGGTTGATTCATCAATTGCTAAGATTTCTTCTTGACGTTGTAATTGACCTATCACCATTTGCGAGTTAATTACGCCTCTCAGACAACTTCAAACGCAAGCCTTGAAGTATTCATAGATACCACACCAAAAAATAAAGAAGTCCCCCGATGGGAATACTGAAGGTGGTACTCAACATCAACTGGACAGACCATGTGTACAACAAACCCTTTACAGCATACTTATGCTGATCTCGCAAAAGATTGCACACAGGCCGATATGGGCCTGGCAGGCCACTGTGCCAGACATCCTGAGCTGCCTGCAAACAGTCTTGTGGTATTGGAACTGGCTCATGGCGCAAAACTGAGGGGAGCCTGAGGACAGAGGAGCCACCGGTTCCGAGGTGGGATGCTGGTTTCTGGAGAGCAGACTACAACAGCTAGAGCTGGCTGCGTTGTGATACTTACTAAAGCTAGGAGTAAGGGAGACTGGAATCACAGCAGAAGATCTTGCCTGCGGGCGACACAGTTATACTCCACCGGTTTCAGCTTCGCGTCTGTTGTGTATGCGTTTGATTGGAAAGCCCCGACAGATCCGCTCCACAGTCTTCTCTAACCCACATACTCTAGCTAGCACTCTTTGCAGATACAAGAAGAAGTTTGCAAGTACATGTACACATAGTTTTCCCAGTAGTGTCTTCTTTTAATCAGATCACCACCTGGGGTCTTTTCTCCATTTCATATCATAAGGGCCTACCTCATCTTGGCTTTCTAAACACACTAAAGACATTGGTACCTTCCACTTTGCATTTTTGGATTTCTTTTAATACTTTCCTTCGGCTCTTGCTCTTGCGCGACTGGTGATTGGACTTGTAGTGGAAAGATATAGGAGTAGCTCTTTGCCTAGGAATAGGAACGCTCTATTTTCATTCCGGACTTCCTCACGGTTTATAAGTCGGCTGCAAGGAATAAAACGCACCAACAACGATGGCCTGTAATGCTATTCTACAATACGTGACAGCCTCCGCAGCAACCACTTTCCTATCGCATGCTTTGAAGTGCGACGGGAGAGAACACGTACATATATCCATGTTGTCGCCTCGGTCAAACCGATCTTCGAAGAAGAGCAAGATCACATGAAGTCCATAAGTACGATAATAACCACTCCAGCTCATTTCCACGTCACAGTAGTTCATTAGTACGCCATTAGATAACGCCGGAGATGAGAGTGCATTGTAAAAACATATTTAAAGAAATTTGAAGGCAATTTGTTGAGACTGTAAGGATGTCATTGTACAGACAAAAGTGTTAAACGATAAGACTAAGGAAAACTGCATCTCATGTACAATTGTGACCGCCAGTGAAGAAAGAGATGAAACTTACTACAGACTTAAATTTCCACAGATGACTACTCTGGATTAAAAGCTCAAAGGTTAGGTAATATTGCTCCATTGAAATGAAATCAAAATGATTTTACCTCTTATAAAGGTCTTTTCGTATGCTGCTTGTTTTCGTAGACCCCGGGAATGTTTGTTTACGCCCAAGGTAAACTTTACCCTACTATACCGATTTGAAATCTATTTCCGGTCTTTGTCCATTGTGTCAACGTCTGATAATATCAATCAGAAACGAATAACAGAAGAAAACCTTCTGGATTAATAAGGTGTTAACTTTGGGCATTTATTTTATTTTTGAATAAACACTTTTCATCACCCGCTACACGCCAAAAATTAGCTTGTGAGTATTTCCTCAAGGCTCTACACTGTGAAGGAATGAGCATTGTTTGGAGGTTTAAGTTATAGCTCCTCCATGTATTTGGCGAACTGAGCCCTCCACTCTGCCATGTCCGTGTACTTCCAGTTGTGGAAAGATTGCTTCCACTCAAGTTCGGCCATGTCCGCATCAGCTGGCCAATAGAACAGAGAAAATGTATTTAAATGAAACATACAGCCTAAAAAGGAAATGCAGAAATTCAGAAGCGATGTAAAATAAGCATCAGAACATTATTATTTGATTTGAAAAATGATCAGTCCTACCCATCATTGTTATGAGCTGGGCTACAAACGTGTTCCATAAGTGGCATTCTCGGCTCCTGAGGGCTCTCTTGGTCACGAGATCCAAGTCGAGATCTTTGTATTCCAGCTCGGGGACGGTAAACTTGGGCCAGAAACCCAGGCTGGGATCAGACGGTGAGTCGAAGGAGGGGTTTCTATAAACAAAATGATGTAAATCTCTTTGAATGTTTTTTGGTCGAATCACACCCATGTCCGCGGGCGAAGGCCTTTTCCCCCTCATTTGCCTTGTGCTCTCTCACGTCTCCTGGCGGCACTAGACAACGGTACGTGTGTGTGTACAGGTGTGTCATATAAGTGTGGACCTCTGCGCAAAAGAAGTCCACATAATGCATAATGTGTGGACTCGCACATATCCACACAATGTCCCCCCCCCTTTCTCTAAAAAAAAAACCCCAGCTTCAGAGGCAATTGGGGGTCAAGGTTATCTGTGGCAAAATGATACCGTAGTGTTTTCACCGAGCACATGGACACTTTAAAAATCGCTTATTTTTGGCTCGTTCGCACGATTGGACTTTATTGCCATCAGCAGGCATCTTAGAAAGCTCAGCTCTATGTGCCCAAGCTGCTAAGCAATTCTGGAAAGTGGGAGGTGCACCATACTTACCCTGTGTTCGCAAAAGTGGTCCAGAATTTCATTGACTGTACAGAGAGCGTCACGTCATCGCGAAACAAGGGTATGAATGGGCGAAAGAAAGGCACAAATGGGGCGCCAAACGTGTAAAAGAGGTCTGCCGCGTGGGGTACCCCCATCCATGACGTCTCATACCACGCGAAGTCATTAACCCTTGTTAGCTGGTACAGGAAGACGTCGTCGCCGCTTTGGGCGTGATAGCGCGCCACCCGGTCGGTTCCGCTGACAAAAGCGCCATCGGTGAGATACTTCACGTATGACTGCAGGTAATTGGCGGTTTGGTTGTCCGCATGAGACCAGTCGACGTACTGTTGTTTGATAGCATCCAGTAGTAGGGTGTTCGTAGCCTCCGAATTACCTGTGAACAGGATTAATGCACATCTTGAATCCAGATCTAGTTTCAGCTGCGCATTCTGACATCAGGACCAGATCATTTCAATCTGTCACAAAGATAAAAAATGTGCAATCTACTCCTTTCGTGCACTCAACTTCAGCGGGCTAGGAGTGGTCTGATAAGTTCGCGATCATTTGCGAGGATTTCATTTTAAATGATATCTCACCGTGGTAGAAGTTGGCTACTTCCGCAGACACGCCTCGATCGAAGTCCTCCTTGGTCAGGAAGGGTGTTTCCTCCTGCGCTCCTGAACCGAAAAGCGGGTTGTTTCGAACAAAAAGGGACCCTTCCTCGCTGTTAGTACCGAGGAGGATTGAGGCGTGGTTGTATCGTCCGGTTGCGTACAGGTTGGCTGGTGTATCGTCCAGGAAAGTCCCATCAACTACCACCGGAGGCACGGTAGTCGCAATCCATGCCTGCATGAGAAGAAACACTAGTTTCCATTCACTTACGAACTAAATCCCTGCTTTTGCTACCACACCGGCTTCTTATTATTCCCCTTTTCCTTACGGGAAAAGCCTTACTCTTTATACTAAACTTCGAACGAATCCACTTTTCACCAAACTCGTTCCCATGGGTGCGATCTTGCCGCGCCATCTTGGTTCCCACAATGCCTTGCGCGATCTTAGCTGGTAGAGGAACGCACATGCGGCCCATGGAGTCGAGGTTGACTTTTCACTGTTGTGAATTATTTTGTGCTTAATCAACGATTCAAAACAGCTTTGCTGTGTGAACCAATACTTATTGTAACTGACTTGATGACGACATTGCGCGCCTTATTTCGCGCTTTGTGAACGTTCCTTGCAGGCCAACGTCGTCGTTCAACTTATCGAACGTCGTGGTTCAGTTTTGCGCACGTTCTGGTTCAACCTTCAGAACTGTCGTATAGACTATTTTGGGATTACGGTTGTTAGTTTTCGAGCAATAGAAACTTGGAGGAGAATTAGAAATATCTCCAGATGTTTGGCGATGTTTGGGTCAGCCAGACTTTATGATTGGGACCGTCCCAACTGTAGTTAAGTTGGGCACTGATGCCGTAAATGGGGGCCTAACAAAAGGTCTTATACAGCCTTCCACGTACACCAGTACCTTACTTTTCAATGTCGTTTCCGCTATCGAAAATAACGCTCTCAGAAATGTTCTTTTTTAATGGACATGCATTGTTCGACCCGCACAGTACCTGTTGTGATGCGTTAAAAACAGCCATCGCGTCCTGCTGTCTCAAACATTCCACCAGAGCGGCGCTGTCCGGTGCACTGCAGCCGAGTCTCTTCCCCATGTCGTAGGCTTCCTGTCGGAGACGATCTCGTTTTCCGTCCGTAAACGCCCACGGAGAAAATATTGTGCCACTCTGAGCGACAAGCAAATGCCATGTTGAAATGCCATCAGTAATGCAGGGCTATGCCGAGCTCTAGAAACACCTTTCTTTGACCTTTACACTTTTCGACGTCCAACAAAATACGTCGATATGAATAGTTCTCGATAAGGATAATTTTGATAATTTTTGCTCTTGGTTGGCTTTCGGCCATAATCTTTTTGCAAGTTGTCTTGACAAAGAGGCTGCACTGGCAAACCCTTTAAGCATGTTGTAGGAAGCCTTGGCGTGCGAGAGTCTGTTTGCACGCGTAGCCTCGCTTTTAGTCCCACCACCGAACTGGTTCCGTGGATGGGCCGAGTAAAAAAACCCACCTCACCTGCATTATCGCGTTTTGGAATAACCCCTGCGACATTTTGGACAGTATCAGGGCACCGACGCTGGCCGACCCGGCACTCTCACCGAAGATAGTTACCCGTTCACTGTCCCCACCAAAGGCTGTTTGTAGGACAAGAAATATGGTGATAACATAGGGACGACGGCGACTGCGGCTGTTCGGCACACATTAGTGATGCTGTATTTTTAAGTATATTTTCTTCATGAATCTCCCGCTATAAAACGTATACTAAAAACAAAATTTTCTTTGATAATAATTATGGAAGTTCCTTCAATTTATTGTAGGTTTTCTTCAGACAGATGTATGCATCAGTTGGGGACAGTATTTGTTTTTGCGAAATAGACTGAACGCTGAAAATGCCTGTTTGTTTTTAACAAATGATAATTCTATTTCCATGCAAGTGGATAGAGTCTTGAAATGATCAACGTACGATTCCACGAAAAAATAACACATCAACACGCCTATTTCTTTGAAAAAAACAACCACCACAATGTGGTTACCTTTGGATTATTAACACCACAATATGTTCATTACGTGTTAACAGGAAGGCGTTTATACACTTGTTTTTACAGTGCACTGCTATCAATCTTTCGGGCAAAAATGTGCGGCCAATTTCATTTAAGGCTTACCTATAGTCAACCATTGGAATTCGCTTTTGTGTTGACAACAGTAAAGATGTGATGAATTTTAGAATAACCCCCTTCCATCGGCCTTGAATTGAATGTACGTTGTACAAATTCAAATTTTCCCAAATTTCCAGGTAAACCTATATTAAATTTGTCAATATGCATAGCAAGCTGTCAGATCTCGCGGGGAAATTATTCAGCTCCCAATTTCCTAACCAGCATAGCACATAAAGTTAGAAAAGGTACAAATGTTTACGGCCTCCATAATGCAAAATATTCTGACCTGCTATGTTCTTCTTGATCCACTGAAGAGCAAATACTTGGTCCAGAAGGCCTGCGTTACCTGGCACCACCTCGTCACCTGAAGTGTTAGACAACACAGAATGAACCAATACATTCTGCCCGCTTTGCGTACAAGGACAATCTTTGGAATAGACGTCCACGCACATGTGATGTGATGTGCGTGGAAGTTCGCCGATTATTGTTGACAGACATCCGCATTTTGGACCACTAGGTGATGGCCAATGAACGGCCGTCCGTGCGACGACACGACGTCACCGGGTGGCTTTCTGGCCAATCAGCGGGTTTGATATCGGCGATGAACGGCTCCAGTTAGCTATAGCACGAGCAGCCATTGACGCTCGTTTGCGATCGTAGTCTCCATCACTGTGCATTGGGCACTAACGTGACTTTGTCACGCACGAATTCATAAGGTAATTGACTCATTCAAAATTAACGCACCGAATTTCACACACAAAATTTCACATTCAACTGGGCCAGCGGTCGCTGTGCCATTACAAGTGGAATCCGACCAAATGATCCACCATAATTGTTAAGAAAATTACGCCCTCTCTTTGTCCCTCGAGGCTCATACCCCGGCCGTGCAGTGGATGAACCAGAATTATAGTAACGTGGCAGTCGCTTTTACCTAAGCCTGCCTTTGTGAATACCTGTTGTCATAAATCCAAAGATGTTCAATCGGTAGTTGATGGTGACGACTATGACGTCCCCAAAGGCGACCAGTGGTTGTGCATAGTACTGATCGGAGGACCCTTGGACGAACCCACCCCCGTGTATCCAGACCATGACAGCAGCGCCTCCTTTCTGTAAATGGGTGTAAAAATTTACAATCGCTTGCTTTTAATTTTTACAGTTTGAAGGGAACACTACCCTTTAATACGTAGCACCATGCACAAAAAGTGAGTGCAGTGATATAATGGAAGACAAGTCCCTATACTGCCCTCTATATGTGGGGAGACGTCTCTTTACTCACGAAAAAGAGCTATAGTCGCCTACCATAAAGTAGTGCAGCTCATGATACTACTCGGGAACAATATATAGCTGTTGGATGGAGACGTTGGAGGCCATTTTGATACGGGCGATTCACAGTAGTGCGCCACCAAGAGTTTGCAACACGTTGGCTAATCATAACACGTGAAATTTGTCGACCCTTTCCAAACGCGCATTGGGTCGACAAATGTCGCGCATTATGATTGGCCACCGCATTGCAAACTCTTGGTGACGCACTATTGTGAAACCGCCATATTGCCGAGAGAGTTCTTTGGAATGTTGGTAAGGTGCTAATTCGATCCTCAACAAATTGTTAATTGATAGAGGAGAGATAATCATGCAGTACAGTACGAGTATCTTGGCTGACAGAACTCTCACTGACTCTATCTTCAACTACTGCTTCAACCGAACATTTTAATGGTCGCTGGTCAGAAATTCACCTTTTGGAGGATTGTAGGCATCTTTCCCGAATACTGGTGGCAGGCTTGTAGGTTAAACCTTCAGATAAATACATGTGTCCGTGTTCACTGAATTGATTACTAGTAAGTGGCTCAATATGTTTTCCTACTTGTGTTAATGAACGTGACCGAAACGTTACGAAATGTCTGTGTCATGCGTATTGCAGCCAACTTGTACATGTACACATATGACAGGCTTCTCGGACAATTTATCACCTCTTTCATTTGAAATTTCTTGAACAAAAGTTTAATTTCGTCTAAGCAGGGTTACCCTCTGTAAATGTTGAAATAACACCACCACATTTCACTTTCCGAGCACCGTAATTTCCGAAAAGAATTCTAATTCGTCCTACAATTTCGTCGTATTATTCCGAAATTGGAATCAACATCTGGGGCGAGTAACCCCCGTCTTTGACGAAACTAAACGAAAAAAAAATGCGACATTAACGGGGAAAACTGTTATTTATTGCCGAAGGTCATGTAAGTGGCTGGGAGTGAGAACAACTGGCTGGGGGAGGGGGGTTGTCCTCTTTTGCTGACCTTGGTTCTCACTTTACAGCCGGATTACTACTGTTGTATGGACCTTCTGTATATTAAGCATCTGAGAAGTGAACACCGAATAAATACCCAGATCAAGATAACAATCCCCGCTAATCCTGGGAGCTGTCGATTTACTTCTGAGTGGCACACACCCTCACTACAGCCCCTCCTTGACAGGAGCCGACGCGCCCCTGTTCCATGACATATTATTATACCAAGACCAGCGTTACAGCGCATGCTCCCGCGACAAAACACTGATCACGTGACTTAACACCAATGACATGGCTTAATATAAGGTGAAATACGACCATTTTAGGGGTGCTTCAGAAAACGCTAAATTAGATTTTTGCCGAGTGAGTCTGATTTTGCCAAAGTAAATCAAATGTTTCTTTCCGGGACTGTTTCTCTCCCCATGCATCCTCTGCCAAGAAAAGAGAACATCCTTGAAAATGCACGGAAGACCGCACTGAGAGGGAAAGTGTGATGACCCTCGATGTTGCTAGTTCCTGTTTCACACAAAAGAGGTTGGCCAAACTGCAGTGAATTTGAAAGCGAATCATGCCCTAAAGACAGTTTGGATGTAAGTGCCACGAGGTTTTGTTAATGATATGCTGCTGTTGGCTAGGATCAATGATATTTTTGTTGGCCTCCTCGCGGCACGAAGTGTCGTCGATCACTGCACAAACAAACGCCTATAAAGAAGGCGTCCTGGCATAATTGCAAAAATGATAACCGTACACAGTTAAACACCTTTTCGGAAATAAACTTGTTTGTGAGTTCAGCGTGTTTTTGTCTTTTGTTATTAACACCAGAATTTATTTTATCACTTTATCAGTACATGATTATGTCTTTGCTACTTAAAATAATTGACACCACAATTCGTTCATTGAAGTGTTACAAGGAAGTTGTCACTTACGATTGCTGGTCTTGGGGTAAAGATGTTCAGAAACAAGCAGTCTTCACTGGCACTCGGCAGCCCAGGTAGTATATTGCCCTGCTCTAAGGTTTGCACACAAGGATCTCGGAAGTACGTGGCGTTGTACGTCCCATCCCAGGGTTCTTTGGTCACCGGGGGCTTGAAACGCAGCGGCCCCACGGGTGGCTGGGCGTACGGTATACCCCTGAACACGTCGATGGTCTTGTTCTCCAAGAACTCCGACTCCTCAAAGAACTCGGTGACTCCAACCAGTTTGCCACCTTCCACCGTGACTTCTGGTTGGATTTGGGCGACACTCAGCCCCACCAATGTGCAGAGGGCGAGAATGACTCGCGCCAGCAGATAGTCATTGCTCATTGTTCGAATCTTAGATGCTTCACTTAATAACAATCAAGTTTGGTCTTCCTCATAAACCGCCCAAAGTTGACTGAAAATGTCATGTAGCTTCATGCACGCGCCAGACGCAGTGCTCGTGACTCAACGTCAAGTAAGGATAGGGTGACTTCACATTTAATTTGGTTAATATTTGATTGGTATGGTACCCTGACGTCATAATTCCTCTCTTAGGTTTAGGTAACAACCTCGGTCAAATAACTCATATAAAGTTGGGATTTCCGTGTCCCGTTAGTTTTGAAATAGTTGTTCAGATTGTTGTGCAAAGGTAGCAATAAGTATTCCGACACATGAAGACAAAAAAGATGGCAGCAAATCTGAGAACAAAATACGCATTGTTATAACAGTATTTGTAAATGCCTAATGACCATGGCGGCTTTCAGACCTATTCTCCGAAATCGTCCTTTTTTCCCGGGGGGGGGTCCTGGAACCAGACTAAGTATTGGATGATGCGTAAATTGTCATGGAAGGGACTTGGCACGGTATTTTCGAACCTTGCCAGATCGTTGTCTATTTCAAGTAGGCAAACAGTGACTGTCGAGAAGTCAGAGGCTGGTGGCTAGGGCTACTGTAGATTGATCGACTGATTGAACGCTTTAATACCAAAAATACTTTAAAAACTCTTTAAAATATAAATGATTGACTTCATAAACAAGATATAGAAGTAAATAACAGAAAACAATAATATAGCAATGCAAACAAATGTGAAAATGACTAGGCAGATATCAATGAAAAGAATCTTTGGCTCTGTTAACCTAGTTCAGCCTTTCAATGCTTGTGCAGTTTTGTCGCCTTAGGATTCACAAATTTGAAAGAATTTCTCCAATAACTAATCAAAATGCTCCGCCTAAAGAGATTACAAAAGCACGCTTAAAATCTATCACTCTCGGTTGCTACACGACCGTTATCCGTTGAATCCAACAAGGTTCTAATAATACGCCGATACACGCTTGAGATCTATTGTAACAACTGTATGAGCATATTTACACGTAGCCCTGTAAACAGCAGAACCCTCGTTATTAGGCAACGCTTGGGGGCTTTCAAGTACAGATAAGTGATTCCCAGCTAAACCAACAAAAAACCACAAACTGACCTTCGTGCATCAGTGGTTTGTTACTTTCTTATCTGTTCACAATGGTTAATTGGCCAATTTTTATTTTTCCTGTTCAGGAATAACAAACGGGAGAGGAAATCTGTTCCTTGGTATGAACCACAGGAAGATATTCCAGAGCAGTCCGTTAACAGCATCAAGTAAGTCATTGCCTCAACGAGAAGCATTAATTTCTGTTCGTAGGTGTAATTAAAGATTTAATGAAAAGGGACGGGAAGTCAGAAAAAAGCACAAAGAACCATGGGTGGAGCCTTTAAAAAAAACCTACATTCTGGTTCATAGAAAGGCGCATTCATGTTTATGTTGGTCATTGTTAGCTGTCCCTACCTTTTATAAAATTGCTCTTCAAACTAAACCTAGACATGTCGTGTTATTCCGCATTCGTTTAGTTCACCTGTCACAACATCGTCGATTATGGCGAAGTCCTCAAAAGGTCCAAAAATCAAATTACTATATAAAGAGGATTATCTAGTCGGGACTTATATTTTATCTCTAAAGTCAATCACTGACAGAGGTCAATCGGTGAAATTGTGTTGATACGTTCAAAATTCATGCATCAGAACTTACTGCAAAGGGTAAAAGACAATAGTGCGTGTCTGTGTCACCGTGACTGCAAATAATAGATAATGAAATCGCATGAAGTCGGGACCACGGTCAGTGGGACATTTGCTACAAGTCGCCAATATCCAGGGTGCTGATCAAGACACACTCTGCAAGACGTGTCAATGATCTGCTTACACAGTGCAGTGGCCACATCTGATTATATCCCGTGCCTACGGCCAACGAAATCTTCGGAGATTGGCGACCAACTTTGAGGCCTTGGCCTACCAAAATACACGTTTACACCAATGGAGTTAATCTTTTTCTGTTTCGTTTTTAGTTTCGACATCTTTTGTCGAATTTTTAATTTGTGAAAATCTTCAAAGTGGCCCTACATAGGGCTAAACCGGCTCTATGTTATTGAGCATTTTCGCTGTCACCATTCTATACATCCCTACTCATCCCAGCTGCTTTCAACGCGTGAAATCGCCGAGCTATCAAGCCGACCTACTTTGATTCCAAATAGCAGTAAACTCTATATGTAAACATAATCAAATAACTGCAAAATGGGGCACATGTAATTAAATTAATAAAAATCAGCAGATGAAACAATTTTAAAAAATAAGACAATAGTATTTATCCATGTAGGAAATACCAAGGAAACAAAGAATATAAAAGCATATTTAAAGGGAAAACATGAAAGAAAAAAACAGTTTAAAGAACAGCCATAATTGAAAATATAAAACAGACGCGAACTGGACCTTTTTTCCAACTTCGTTGTGGAATAGAGATGCCCTGGGCCCATTACCTGTACTATGCCAATTGAATAATGGTTCGGCGTTTCGTCCATTGAGTCGACTACTGATAAATCAGTAAGATTTGTACCTCTCATAGACGAATTAGAGAAGAAAACTTTCAATTCGAAAGCGGTGGCTGTAAGCACTCTTGATTTTCCAAACATTTGCCATTACCTGCTAAAAGCCACACATCAGCAGTGCGTTTTTTCCCTCCAATTCATTTTCGAGGTTCGACGCTCACATTGAAAGGGACGTTACAGCTCCCCTGTGTATTTGGCGAACTCAGCCCTCCAGTCCGCCATGTCAGTGTACTTCCAGTTGTAGAAAGATTGCTTCCATTCAAGTTCAGCATTGGCCACCTCAGCTAGTCATAAGAATACAAATACATTTGAAATGAACAGTCTAGCGCAAAGGAACTGTAGAATTTTTCGATAACTCAAACCACACCACACAAGTCTAGAACAGGTCAGACCAAAACAGGCATCTTTAAACGGCAGATCAATGCGGCTGTTTTTCTCATGCTGAATATAGTTGGAGACACCTGGGAAAGATGTTATGAATTCATACAAGGCAAAGTACCTGTACATTTTTTCACGTTTAGCAAAAGACCACGAAGTACCACGTGACCACACTGTTTCCCCGAGATTGGCTCCGTATTAAAACATTTTTGCTTTGCAACCGTACGTTGACAGCAGGGATCATTTTCATATGAACGTACCCACTGGTGTAGCCACGGGAAGGCCTGGGGGCACACCCCCCCCACAAATTCCCAGTGGCCCCCCAGGTGCCCCCCCCCCTGAAAAATAAAACGGATGAATGGATATTGAACAAGGCTAACAAAAACTTGCCCCCAAAAACACAGCACCGAAAGCTGGTGCCCCCCATAAGATGCTGGGCCCCCTTTTTGCCCCTTCCCCCACTAGTAAAATCCTAGCTACGCCAGTGAAGGTACCGTGAATTTTTTCACGTATCAAATTGTAAATTTCTTTTCAGAACTTGGCCGTGATATTTGTTTAAAGCTTTCTACGCTCGTCTCATCTTTAGGCCTAGTGCTAGTACTCTGTCGGAGGCACATCCGTTGGGTTGGAAGGGGACTGCCTTATTAGGGTTTTTCCTTGAACCTTAAATTCATTCCCAGTCTAGATTTAGAAAAGGGAACTGCTGTTAAATAAACACTAAAAGCACTCCTCATATGCTTCGGACATGATCAGTCATACCCATCATTGTCCTGAGCTGGATTATAAACGTGTTCCAGAAGTGGCATTCTCGGCTCTTGAGGGCTCTCTTGGTCGTGAAGTTCAAGTCGAGCTCTTTGTAGTCCAAGTCGGGGATAGAGAACTTGGGCCAGAAACCATCACCGGGATCAGACGGTGAGTTCTGACGGTCGAGGCCGGGGGTTCTTTCAAACAAGCAAAATTAAGAAACGTAGTTTAATATGCCTGTTTGGAATCTCATGCATACCATGTCAGAAAGCAACGGCTACCCCAAGTACCCCCCCCTAATCTCTTTCTATTGTGCCCTTCCCAAGTGCCACTAGTGTATGCGTTGTGGGAAGGGTATGATCACAGCACAATCAGTCAGGAAGACAATTGTAGGAATCACCCGACACGACGGGTGCTGCTGAGGTTGATTCTTTTCGTACTCGTCGCGGGTATTATTAAACATTATGTGCTAATTTTCTCGAGACGCACTGCATCATTCCTTCGTGTCATTACTCCGCGGACCAACAACGGCCAATTAACACGTCTGCGCCACAGCTGCGCGCGCATGGTCACATGTGCACGGAATGCACGAGCATGATGGTGGACCTTTTCACTGGGAACTGAATTCATAGTAGAGATTGCATGCGTCCAACGCATGCGCCTGGTGGCAAGGGGTATATAAACGTTCTGGTATATTTTCCTCTTTAATTCACCAGAAATCTCTTTCATGTAGCTACCGTTTGATCGAAGTGTTTTATGAAGCCCAAATATGACTTTCAAAATTGTTCTCCTCCCGTGCAAACGGTAATTACGTCATAGAAAGCCCGACTCTATAATACGGGCGTTTCACAATAGTGCGCCTCCATGTGTTTGCAACGCGTTGGCCAATCACAATACGCGAAATCTGTCGACCCAATCTGCATTTGGAAAGGGACGACAGATGTGGCGCGTTGTGATTGACCAACGCGTTGCAAACTCTTGAGGGCGCACTATTGTGAATCGACCGTATTGTTATGTCACACACGCAGCTTCTTTGTGCGTGGGGTGATTGGGGGTTCTTCGTACATACCCGGTCTTTGCAAAAGTGGTCCAGTACTCCATGAGCTTGACTGACAGCGCTACGTCCTCCCCGAACCGGTCGATTAATGCCCGAAATGGGGGTGCTAAAGGGACGCCAAACACGTACCACAGGTCTGTCGCATGGGTCGCCCCCAGCCACGAAGAATACAATTTGAAGTCCCTGACTCGTGTCATCTGGTACATGAAGACGTCGTCGCCGCTTTGGGCGTGGTAGCGCGCCACCTGGTCGGTTCCACTGACAAAAGCGAAATCGGTGAGATACTCCACATACGATCTGAAATAATTGGCGGTTTGGTTGTCGGCATGGGACCAATCGACGTACTGTTGTTTGATAGCATCCATTAGTAGGGCGTTGGAGGCCTCCGAATCACCTGCAGAAAAATATATCAAATTCATATACACAAAAGAAAATTGAAGCAAAATTACCAGTCTGGTGCATTCATGTAAGCAATCTGAAAGGGGTTAAAAATTTTTGCTTTGTTTTGTTACAAAATCGAAAACAAAAGATAAACATCAGGGCAATATATTTTCAAGCTTGCTTCTCTTCCAGTGAATAACAGAGGTTGTGTGGCGGAACCGGATTCTTCGTGCTGGCTCCTTTAACATTTCTCACCGTGGAAAAAGTTGGCTATTTCTGCAGACACGGCTCGGTCGAAATCCTCCTTGGTCAGAGCGGGAGGAGCCTCCTTCGCCCCTGGACCGAAAATTGGGTTGTTTTGAACAAAAAGGGTCCCTTCGTCGCTGTTTGTGCCGAGGAGCACTGAAGCGTGGTTGTAGCGCCCAGTGGCGTACAGGTTGGCCGGTGTGTCGTCCAGGAAAGTCCCATCAACTACCACTGGAGGCACGGTAGTCGTGACCCATGCCTGTAGTTGTGAAGAAGGAAGAACAGTGTTGCAGTCACAAAACAGATCCTTGCTTTTTGCAACCGCAGCCCGTGGTTCATCTTGTGACCATGGCTTTCTTCTGATTTGTTTAATAGGCTTTTATGCCTCCAAAAGCCGGTGTTGTAAGAAGTCATCGCTTAAAAAAACCGAAAGGATCGAATACGTTTTATTCGAGTCCGAATGAGGAGGCAGAGACGTATAAGTTCCGGGGAGACGGAGGTAGGCCTATATATCCCCCACTTTTAAATCAAATTCATCACTCCACTATAACAAAAAGGGAATTCTTACATATTTTTCGACTTATTCAGCAATCGCACTGTATTCAGGAGTATCGAAAAGGGCAAATAAAAAAACAAAAAGCCAAGCTTTTAAAAACGCCGTTTGGGTGTACTTAATGAGGCGTAAATATACATTAAAGAACAACTCGGAGGAAAACATGTTTTCTCTGATTTTATCTGTTCAAATAAGCATGGAAGCATCCAAATTGAACGCAGTGTCATTTGTGTTCAGAGCTGAACTATAACAAACTAAAAGGGGCTTTTTTTCTGTTCGTGCCAAGATGCGAATTCTGAACATGTTGAATGTAGATTGCGTTATTCTGAAAAAACGAGGGAACCCTCGCCTTGTGTTCGTCGTG